ATGAGTTGGGATAGCTGGAACAAGGTCCATGGAAAATCAACTCAGCAACCTCTCCTCAGCAAGAATAGTGGTATTTGTGCACACTTTAAATTCCCGTATGGCAGTAAACTTCCTCTTGAGACATGCAAGCAAGGTGCAAGCAAAATTGAAAAGCACAACAACAAGAAATGTACAAATAAGCCCTAAAATAAAGTTTGAGGGATCGATCATGATTGCTTTAGCTTAGGGATTTGTCACTATAACCTCTAGAACCACTGAAACAATTAGCAGCCTGTTATATTATTTAGTGTCTGTCCTACAAGGGACAAAAAAGTGCCACTTGGTCTCAAGGGAAATGAGATCTGGCTCGTGCACCTCCCAAGCATCATGACAGTGATGTCATAGGGGAGCAGACAAAAGATGGAACCCAATCTCTGGAACATACTGCCTGGTGTTTCCAGGTGCACCTCAGTGAACTACATGATCTCGTATCACTGTCTGACTCCAAAAAGTCCATTAGCTTAAGTATGCTAACTTCAGTCACATGCATTTATATACACACACACACAGACAAGTCATTTACACTTCTGAAGTTGCAGATAAGTGTACTTAAAACCAAAGATCACACCATAGGCAGCTTTGAACTGCAAATCCATCTCTTCAAAAACTGGGGAGCGGTAAACGGACAAGCTTGACTGAATTACCCAAGTTGTTTATTGCCATAACCCTGTAACTTTGGCAGGAGTTAAACAGCTAGGCAGCTGATAATCACAGTGTTAAAGAGCATGACTCAGAATATTTCAAGAACATACTTTGGCAAAAGATCTTTTTTTCCAGGTCTGCTTCTATTTTATTCTTTATTTAGTTGCTCATTATATGTATTTGTTTGCAATCTCACAGTGTCCTGCTGTGAACTTCAGGAAGATTAGGCACTTCCACTGCATAATGGCTTTAAATGCGATAGAACTTAAAAAAGACAGGGAGTCTCCCTCCAAGTGAAAAGGATATCCAAATAGCTTAGAATGTGACATAATGCCTTTCTAAATCCTTTTAGGACTGCTGCACCATGCAGTATTCATTGACAAACAGACTTTGAGAAGACTGCTGTTAATCCTCTCACTGAAATCTGACAGCAGAACTGTAAAATGCATAATCCTTGCGTTAGATTAGGTGGTGTATTTATATTCATGAGCAAGTGTCCACATACAAGTGTTTATGTTCTTTATTATGCTGGTATTGTGCATACAGCATGGAGGCCTTGCTGTGCCCCCAGGGTAGGAAACTCCTACACTTTGTATGGTGAAATGGGGCAGGAAGATGAGTGGGACAGCAGGCAGCAGTACTGATCTTAGCCATGCAAGGATCACAATAATCTTTGGACATAAACAAGTTTCATAACCATCTAGCAAAACTAGATGGTTTGAGCTATGCGTCTCGAACAGTGCATACTGTAGATTCACAGGACAAGCATGGCAAAGAGCACAGGGACTTGTGTCAAATAAGGTTTTTATAACCTCTTTGATTTATGTAATATGACTTAGTCATGCTGTTCTGAATTCTGACGGATTTGCTGTGAATGGAGGCACAGCTCTTATCCTCTTCACAGTGTGCGTGTGTCCCACACATGTGGACTCAGAATGTAAGCACATTCATTTGCCTCTTCAAAATTCGAAGTATTTTTAACCTCCTTTAAAAACACATATTATACAATTCATTCAGCAAGACCTAAAAAACCCATCATGTAATGATGTTTTAGAAAATTGTGTGACCACATGTATCATGGAGATGTTTTGCCTATTGATATATAAATATATAGATTTTTCGATATTGTTAATACTGTGGTAGATTAAAAAATATTTGCAGAATAGTACTTACAGAATATACCAACACATGAGAGTAATAGAGTAACTTCAGTGCTGTGGAAGATACCTCCAATCTGTAAGATATTCCATATTACTTGTCACTGTTGTTTAAAAGTAATCCCTTACCTTATACTGTAATACTACTGTCCCACATGTGTAATGAATCCAAAATAACTATAGAAGTAAAACTTAAAGTATGTGAGATGTTTAATTAAAATATAACACAAATCGATGCTAGACGCTTTACTGACTTGTGTACTGACATTATCCCGCATTATTGTGTTTTTTGTCATTAAACAAAGACTTATTCTGGGCAGGTTAATAAGGAGGGAAAATGTAGATAGATATAGCCCTATATGTATTTTTTTTTTCATGTCAGACACAGGATTTTACACAGAGTTTATACAGTTGAAGTCAGATTTATGTATGTCTGAGTATGTCTTATGTATGTCTGATAATATTTTTTCTGTCTGAGAAAGTCTTATTTGTTTTATTTCGGTTAGAATAAATGCATTTTTAAAATTTTTAAAAAAACATTTTAAGGCCAAATTTATTAGCCCCTTTAAGCAATATTTTTGATAGTCTACAGAACAAACCACCATTATACAATAACTTGCCTAATTCCCCTAACTTGCCTAGTTAACCTTATTAACCTAGTTAAGCCTTTAAATGTCACTTTAAGCTGAATACTAGTGTCTTGAAAAATATTTAGTCAAATATTTTTTACTGTCATCATGGCAAAGATAAAATACATTGGTTATTATAAATGAGTTATTAAAACTATGTTTAAAATTAAGTAGAAATAATCTTCTCTCCGTAAACAGAATTTGGGGAAATAAATAAATGGGGGCTAATAGTTCATTCATTCATTCATTCATTTTCTTTTCAGTTTATTCCCTTTATTAATCAGGGTTCGCCACAGCGGAATGAACCACCAACTTATCAGCACATGTTTCACACAGCGGATGCCCCTCTAGCTGCAACCCATTAAACTCATACATTCTCATTCACACACATACACTACAGTCAATTTTAGCTTACCCAATTCACTTATACCGCATGTATTTGGACTGTGGGGGAAACCGGAGCACCCAAAGGAAACCCATGCGAATGCGGGGAGAACATGCACACTCCACACAGTAATGCCAACTGACTCAGCCGTGGCTCGAACCATCGACCTTCTTGCTGTGGGGCGACAGCACTACCTACTGCGCCATCGCATCGCCCCGCTAATAATTCTCACTTCAAATGCATATGTTTGATTTAATACCTGGTAAACTGACTCACAGTTTACACTCATGCACACTTCATGCTTATGACAGCGGCAAGACAATCTCTTCTGCACCGGATGTGAGCTTCCCTCACGCAGCCACTGAAACTGCTCGCGATTTGCTGCTTTCACACACACATATTTTAGAATCAAAGTTGTACATCAGAAGAAGACTCCGTGACACACTTGATATGGTTTGGCAAACCACTATTTGAGAAACAAGCTAATCCATGAAAATGTTTTTTACCAAAGTACCATTGGATGTAAAGATGATAACTTCGATGATTCCATACCCAGTCACAACATTATCAGATGACTATGTTTTGAAAACATAATATTGCGTCTCTGATATTTCACAGGTTTGCAATAATTTCTTACTTTGAAAAATTATATATTTGGTAAAAAGTGTATTGTAACAAGCATTACAGAACATGTATAGAATAACCCATTTTTTATTTTTCCATTTCAATAATTTTTATTATAGGTTTTTTTATACTTGTTGTATTTTTTGTTTCTTTTATGTGTTTATTCTCAGTATTACCATTGTGTATGAAATGTGCTATATAAATAAACTTGCCTTGCCTAAAATATTAGTGAAAATTGATTAGTAATACCTTACACTATGTTTTAGCAATAAGTAATTCGCTACTCTAATGCATTACATTTCTAACATGTTACTTCCATTACTGATTAACTTGCATCAATGAGAAAATTAGATGTTTGATGTTATTACTTAATACGTTAATAAAGTCCAATAAGCAACAGAAAGAACTCAATTCAGAACTTCCAGTGTCTTTGTGACAGCAGCCTAATATAACTTCTGTGGTCACTAACAAACAAGGTCAGATTGTTGTTTGTTAGTAGTATCAGTTGTATCTTGAATCAACCTTTCTACACTTCCTGTGTTGTTGCGTCTCTAAGGACTTACTAATTTACATAATTTTAAGCTGAAATTTTCTTGTACATATTGCTATTGGAAACTCAAGGCTGCTGTATGTTCAAAACTGCTGCTTAAGTGTAACAACAACTAGGGACATAGTTTGTCTTGTGAACACATACTTTCCTGTGTCAAGCATGGAAGAACTATGAAAACAAAATGAACGAAAAGTTAATGTTTCAAGTGCTATAAATACCAGTGGTTTTTCTGCTCAGCTATTTTTAGTGCTTACATCGCCTCCCAGACATCAGCGTCACACAGTTTCCTCACTCATACTCAGGCAGTGCTGTCTGTTGCAATCAAAATGAGTCTGAGATTAAGATACACTTTTCACTGTGTTCAGCATCTCTGCTCTACAAACACATTCATGTTCTGTTTGCTGGGTTGAGTACATACTGTACCTTGAGGCTGTATTTTGGTAATGTTATCACTTTTGTCCTTATGTGTTCAGTGTTATTATTTTAAAAGCAAAAAAAGAAACTCTTAAGGAAGAAAATGCTTCGAGTTTGCCCTTTAAACACCCACACACACACTACGTCGAATGTCATTTGCATTTCTTAGGCTATTTTTATATGTTTGTGTCTCTTAAGGAAATGAGTGGGCAAGGTTGTTAATGATGACTCATGAGCAGGAGGTGGTAGCTCCTCTGCATCAGTTCATTGAAAACTCTTGACACACTAGGCGAGAAGAACACAGCTGTGCAGCTGCCTAGATATCAAACTGAAAGAGTATGAGAAAGCAAGCTGTAATTGAAGTATGATGAGCAACAGATCACATGATCAACTGGCATGCTTTGTTTAGACAGCTGAGTATTTTCCCCCAGCTTTTTTACATCAGCTTGAAAATCTTAGGGTAGTAGTGTTATGTAGTATTTTCTTTATTTTAGCAGATTTCTTGCATTGTTTAAACTTTTTCATAACTTATGATTTTGTTTTCTTTTTCTCTCTTGTAGATTGTGAAACTTAAGGAGGACATTAATCAGAAGAACAAGCTTGGATAAAACAATAAGTGAATGGACTGCTGAAATGAGTGATGGAAAGATACTGCCTTGATTGTCACAAGGGAACATAATTTGTATTTTAAAGTGGAGCAACACTTGAACTATGGAGGTGGAAGGACCTTTTATTTAGGAGTAACTTAATACCTTATCTGGCATGACAGCTTTCATGAATGAAATTTGACAAACAGCCATCTTAAGAAACCCTACTGGAGTACTAAGAAAAATGGAGCCACATGAACCTATTGTTGGCCAAAAATGCACCAAGGAGCAACGGGAAAAGAACCCCTTACAAAGAAAATGGGTCTCTGAGCCATCTGCTGGAACAAAAAGAAATACCTTTGCAGACCCAGATATTAAAAGACACTCACATCGTGAGCAAAGTCTAACAGGTGGTACAAACCTTACTAGTTCAACTCAAAAGTACAGTTCTGGAAACCTGATGTCATCTGCAGTGACACATTCATCACAAGAAGGTCAGTTTCAACAGATCTTTCCTCGGCCTTACCCCTACCAGCTGCCACATTCTTACCCACAGGAGCCTTTCCTTGGTGGTACAAAGCCACAACCAGGGTTAGAGGCCCATGCCTGGTCTTTCTCTGGTCAACTGCAATCTCTGCCACCAGATGATATGTATCCGGTACACTCCCGCTCTCATGGAGTATTTCCTCGTCATAAGTCTCCTGCTGGTTTTGGCCAATTTTCCCAATCCGGACCCGAGCAGCCAGATGAAAGTCATAAGAAGGAACAAAAACCCAAGAAGCCAGGAAAGTACATATGTCACTATTGTGGTAGAGCATGTGCTAAACCCAGCGTGCTGAAAAAACACATTCGGTCCCACACAGGGGAGCGTCCTTATCCCTGTGTTCCATGTGGTTTCTCGTTCAAAACCAAGAGCAATTTGTATAAACATCGAAAATCGCATGCTCATGCCATAAAAGCAGGACTTGTTCCATTCTCTGATCTAGCAACCCGAACAGACACTGATCAAGCATCTTCAGTTGGGGAAGCAGAGGCACACTCTGATGGGGAGCAAAGCACTGACACTGATGAAGAAACAGCAGAAGGTGCAATGTTTCCTGAAAAATGTAGCCCTCAGATATCATTCGAGTCAGACAAGAGCCCGATGGAAAGGGGACCAGCATATGCAGACCCAGCAGAGGAATTGTCAGTGGCATCTATGAAAGTGCCTATCTTAATTGTTCCAAAACAAGGGGTGCCATCACCTGCTACTGAGTGCCCCCAGTTTACAGACATTAAAGGTTCAGTTATTGGTGGACAGATGGGCAGAGGAGATGAGTCTCATACGGTTAAACAGAGACTTGCCTTAAGACTCACTGAGAAGAAAGACCTGGATTCAGAGCAGTCTCAAAATCTCTTGAGCCCCCACAGTAAAGGTAGCACTGATTCTGGTTATTTTTCTCGCTCCGAGAGTGCTGAACAGCAGATAAGTCCACCTAACACCAATGTAAAGACATATGAAGAGATCATGTTTGGAAGAACTTGGTACCATAGAACTAACTCAAGATCTAGACAATCAGTCACAGTTGGGATGGTGGCAATTGCTAGTCAAGACACTAATATCAACAAGTCTAGTGCCATGCAGGAGTTGGCAATGGGAAAGATATCAGAGGGTCATGTATTTTATCAAAGTGATTGTGCAGAATCTCATTTAATCCCTGGATGTGACCCAAAGCATTATCATGCTGGCTCTTGCCAAACCAGCACAGGTCTTCTAGAAGCACCTTCTGATTCAGGGCCACTTATACGAAGTAATTCAATGCCAACACCTTCCCCAACCAACCTCAATGTACCACCAAATCTAAGAGGGAGTCACTCATTTGATGAGATGATGACCCAAGATGATGTCTTTTACACCGGAGCTGCAGGTCTAAAAAGATTGAGGAGACAGAGCGCCTTTGAACACTCTGTCCAGGAAGGGCATGGAGAGTCAGAAAGCTATGGGAAGATCACGGGTCCAAATTCAAGTTTAAGGGGGCATTTGATGCCAGAATTGAAAGGTTCTGGGTCAGAGATGGCTTGTCCAGAAGTACGCACAGCTTACACTTCATATGGTACAAAAGTGGGAATGACAGAGTTTACCACAAGAAAACGTCGCATGAAAAAGAGTGTCGGTGAAGAGGAAGACTGCCTTGGACAAGATGATGGCAGCCGTAGTGGCTCTACTGAAATGGCAGAGGAATATGACTTAAGGCAAGGAAGTCAAGATTCTTCTAAGGCTGTTCCAGCTAATAAGGGATCCATGTTTAGAGCACATAGCCCTTCAGACAGTTTTGATAGAGGTTCATGTATGACACCAGAGGATGTGGTCCATGTTCAAGATTCGGACACAAAGACTGGTGGAAATGTAATTTCTGTCATTCAACATACTAATTCGCTGAGCAGGCCAAACTCATTTGAGAAGACTGAATCAATAGAACACCCATTTTATCAGCCGGATAAGCATGCTGGACATCTTTCTGAACAATCAGACACAGAAAATATTGATGATGTTCAAAGCCCCGATTCTCATCATAGATCAGAAAGCATGGAACATCAGCAGCAGGGTGACAATGAACATGGATCTTTCTCTTCTAACACGCTTTATCATATGCCCCACAAACTTGTACGTCAACCAAACATTCAAGTGCCTGAGATAAGAGTTACAGAAGAGCCTGACAAACCGGAAAAAGAACCTGAGGTCCCAGCAAAAGAACCAGAGAAACATGTTGAAGAATTTCAGTGGCCACAACGAAGTGAAACATTGTCCCAGCTCCCTGCAGAAAAGCTACCTCCAAAGAAGAAACGTTTGCGTCTTGCAGATATGGAGCACTCTTCTGGAGAGTCCAGCTTTGAGTCCACTTGTACTAGTCTGTCAAGAAGCCCTAGTCAAGAAAGTAACTTATCTCATAGTTCAAGCTTTTCTATGTCATTTGACAGAGAGGAAAGCATCAAATCTGTATCCCCAACTAAACAAGATGAATTTGCTAAGCAGTCTGAGTTTTTAACTGTTCCAGGAAGTGGCCATTCTCTGTCAATACCAGGCCATCATCAAAGAGAAATGCGACGTTCTTCATCAGAGCAGGCACCCAGTGCTTTGCCCACTGAAGTACCAGAAATACGTAGTAAGTCATTTGACTATGGAAGTCTTTCAACTGGGTCGAGACAAGGAGAAGTATATGCGAGTGCTTCAGCTATGAAGGAGCGTAGACGAGGTTACCTTGTTAGACAGGCATCTCTCAGTGTTTATCCTGAAGTAGTAGTTCAAGAGCCAATTTCAGAGTTGTCCATCAAACAAGAGCATTCTGACCATGTTTCTCAAGCTGGTTTAACTGGTACATCCTATTGTGTAGCTAATGACTTGCCTAGACCCAGAAGAGGTGCACAGTCAGTTCTCGGATCACATCTCTTGCTGCAACAAAGCATCAGTGAGGACAGTCAATCTGAGGATCATTTCCAGAACACCCCTCGCTTGCCTGCACAGCTTTCTTCAGATAGTGAACATTCAGTGCATGAGCACATGACCCAAGATTTATTTCAGCATTCTTCACTTCAGAGCAGCATGGCATCCTCACCTTTCTTGCCATTTCAACCAATGCTCTGGCATCCTGAATCAACACAAAGAAACAAGCATAACCTGGCATTCCAGTCACATAATTTACAAAAGCTACATATCAAACAGCCAAATCTACAGCCTTTGCTACAGAAACCATACCAACCTTCTCATCAAATTCAAGTGCAAACAGACTCAAAAACTGATGGGGCAAGTCACAACTATCCATATCCTTCAAGGGCCTCCCCACAGCAGCTTGGGGTATTGTCGTCTAAAGTACTGACTACAAGCTTCCTACAACAAGTTCAGCCTACTTTTGCAACTCAAAACGTAGGTTCACCACAATCACTCCCTGGAATGCTGGTCCCAGTCAGGATCCAGACAAATGTGCCATCTTACGGTAGTGTTATGTATACAAGTGTTTCACAAATCCTTGTCACTCATGCTCAGAGCACAACTTCTATCAGAGTCATATGCACAGATAATGTGTCAACTGCATCAATAACAGGCACTGCATCAAAGCATCAAGTAGGCATCAATTTATCAAAAATATTAGGACATTCAGGAGGGTCTATAAATTTTCCAACATGGAAAGTTCCTGAATATTTACCTGGGAGCCTTAATACAGGAATTCCTTTGTCTTTGACGTCAGGGACTATCTCTACTACAGATGCTTCCTCTAATATTGGGGGGAGTAAGAGAATGTTGTCGCCAGCAAGCAGTCTTGAGCTTTTTATTGAAACCAAACAACAGAAACGGGTCAAGGAAGAGAAGATGTATGGCCAGATTGTGAAGGAGCTTAGTGCAGTTGAGCTGAGCAATTCCAGTGCACCAAAAGACAATGAGTCCACTAAAGCTGAATTTTCAAACAGAGATGACTCAATAGATGAGCAAGAGAGGATGTCCTCGTCTCCACCATCTGACTTTTTGTCATCCAAATACCTTGGGTACCCGTCTGCACCTCGTTTGCCTGATGTGCCACCAAAAGACAACTTCATTCCACCCTTGCAAATTATTACAAATGTAACCAGCAGAGCAGATTCCCCAGAGGAGCTTGATGTTGATGAATCCACACCAGAGGCAAGCTCAAGCCCACAATCAGTGATGTCCTCAAGTGATACTCAAGAAGAATCCAAACAGAGCATGGGTAACAAGTTTCCAGTAAACATGCTAGTGCAGCTAGCTGCCAATCAAGGCGGTGGAGTCGTTGGTAGCACACTAATGCTGACTGACTTGGCAGATGTCCACCAGTTTTTTCAGTTCCCAAGTCTTCGCACACCAACCAGTGTCAGCTGGTGCTTCTTAAATTATACCAAACCAAATTATGCCCATACAACTCCCTTATCCTCTGTGTATGGTTCTTGGTGCATCAGCTCCTACAACCCCAACCCACTGAACCTCAGCACCAAGGCCACCCTGGCACTTCTTCGATCCAAACAGAGGAAGAATACAGAGATGTACACAATGGCTGCTATGCATCAACCTGGCACTGGAAAATTGGTTTCATCTCTGCGCTGGAAACAGAAGTTTGAGCAGGTAATCCAAACTTTTTCTTAAGAATATTCAGCAGTTTAAATTAAGAATAACAGTATTAATTTCATTCCGCAAATTTTTTATTTATTTATTTTTTGTTAGAACATGAAATTGCAAGCTGCTTATTTCTGACGGTCTCAAATTATATGTAAAAACGAATGACAAGAAAATGTAGTTTAAGGATTTGTGGTTCTAGCTATTTTCTGTTTACATTTCCAGTTGAAGCCAGAGCATATACAGTTGGATGTTGGGAAGTTTGCAAAGAAAATGAAGGGAATCAGCTCAAGAGACAGGGGGAAAGAGGACCATGGAGAAAAAGAGGCTTGTTCAAAACAGGCTGAACCCACTCGCATCAAAATCTTTGAAGGAGGGTATGTGACATTGTGGTAATTTTTTAAAAAGTAAATGGTTCATATTGAAAATGCCAATCTCCTTTCACAAAAATTCAGTTAAAAGTCACATACTCCTAGAAAAAAACAAACATTAGGAATCCAACATTAATCATCATTCACAACAATACCAAAAATGGTTAAGTTGTGTATGACTTACATGATAATTATTTTGTTTCGTATACAGTACAACACACATACTACACATGCATGTGACTTTAATATGTTTAAAAAGAAACAAGTATTTTTCATATAATAACATTCTCTACAAGGAGAAAAAAACAGTAAATGCAGCTATGAAAATGTTTTGATGTTACTTTATCATCCAGGTTTTAATATTTTAATATCATTTTAAATATATAAAAGAACCATGTCTTCCAAATATATAATGTGAAATGTGTTTTCACTCCCCATCAACATTTGACACTATATTTAATACTCTCCAATAATTATTTAAAACATGTTTTATTTCAGGTACAAATCCAATGAAGACTATGTTTATGTGCGTGGCCGAGGCCGGGGAAAGTACATCTGCGAGGAGTGCGGGATCCGCTGTAAAAAACCAAGCATGCTGAAAAAACATATTCGCACACACACAGATGTCAGGCCATATGTCTGCAAGTTCTGCAACTTTGCTTTTAAAACAAAAGGTTGGTTTTCTCATATATTTCCAGTAACCACACTCAAAACATCTTGGAAACAACATTTTATAGTTTGAATAAAACCAAAATGTGGATATTTATTGTTGACTTCAGTAACACACTGAGGTACAGAAGATCTATGTACTGTGTAAACAGAATAAATTGAGGGTTAGAGATCATTTTTAATGCTAGTGCAAGCAATTTAAACATTTTAAAATCTCATTTCAGGAAATCTTACAAAACACATGAAGTCAAAAGCTCACATGAAAAAGTGCTTGGAGCTTGGAGTATCAGTGACTTCGGTGGATGAAACAGAGGCAGAAGAACTAGGTATGATTCAGACTCTGGTCACATTATTCTAAATGTATGCAGGCAGCTGGACTGTTGCAAGTGATACATTATTGTTTTTACATTATTTACATTAGTTTTACATTATTGTTAAAAAGTATATGTAATTTACTATTAAATAATTATTGGTTAACCTGACTTAAAGTCAAAGTCAGTTGTGAAAATGTTTTTTTTTTCTTCTTTTCTCAGACACTACTGAGGAGGTTCAAAGAGGATCAGAGAAGAAGGGCATGTCAGAGATAATGGCAGAGCACCAGTTCTCTGATGCTGATGATTCGGAGGGTGCTGAAGAGGATGGTGATGAAGTTGATGACGATGAGGATGATGATGATGATTATGAGGGTGATTCAACACCGAAGACACGCTCTCGAAGCACAAGCCCACAGCCATGTTCCATCCCCTCACTCGCTATCACTGCAATTGCCGCTTCACAGGAATCCATCCCAGAGGGTTTGGCCATCTCCAAACAGCCTATTTTCACTTACTTCACCAGTCTGCCCAGTATTCAGATCACTCAGCTCATGGCACCCAGTGAGAAAGCTGGAGAGATCCAGATGGCTGAATACCAGAAGCTCCTTCAAGGGGCTCTGGGTGAAGATCACAAAAACAGACTGGATGTGCCTAGCTCTATGGATGAAGACCTGGCTCTCTCTCCAGAACACAGCTCATCCTCCTTTGAATTCTCGTGCTCCCGGCTGTCTTCACCAGGCTGTGATTCCTCCCCACTTCGAGAAAGCTCACCTTCCTCTAGGCGGTATCTGTCCCCTCGAAGGGACCTCTCCCCGCGTGGCCGTTTGTCACCAAGGCGAGAAGCATCTCCCCTTAGGCATATCTCCCCCAGGCGGGATGTTTATAGAAGAGATCTGTCACCAAGGAGGGACCTTTCTCCAAGAGGACATCTCTCTCCCATCTCCCAAACAGGACGGCCAACATCCCCAGGAAGGGATCTCTCGGGCAGACTTTCTCCCAGAAGCCGCAGGGGCATGATCAGACCTGTGTCTCCCAGAAGGGGTCTCCATTATCAAAGTGGCCCATGGGCGCTCAGCCCCAGTCCACATGCAGAAATGATATCATTAAGCCAAAAGACCAAGGGCCATGCAGAACCAGAGATGGTAAGTTATTGTTTTTGCTCCATAAGCAGTAGCTCCAGTTGTTAGTGAATAGTAATATAGCTGTAAATAGTGCACTAACTAGGAAACCATATTAAGTCGATCTAAAAGATTTGCAGTGAAAATGGTTGCATACTTGGCATGCTTGGAAAGTTTGGTGAGCTTTCACTTAGTTAAGTGTGAGCAAAAATAAATTTTTATCCTTGAAGAATAAAGGGAGGAGTATGAATTGGAGATACAGTTGAAGTCAGAATTATTAGCCCCCTTTTGATTTTTTTCTTTTTTTTTAATATTTCCCAAATGATGTTTAACAGAGCAAGGAAATTTTCACAGTATGTCTGATAATATTTTTTCTTCTGGAGAAAGTCTTTTTTGTTTTATTTCGGCTAGATTAAAAGCAGTTTTACGTTTTTTAAAAAACAATTTTGGGACAAAATTATTAGCCCCTTTAAGCTAATTTTTTTTCGATAGTCTACAGAACAAACCATCGTTGCCTAATTCCCCTAACCTGCCTAGTTCACCTTATTAACCTAGTTAAGCCTTTAAATGTCACTTTAAACTGTACTGAAGTGTCTTGAAAAATATCAAGTAAAATAATATTTACTGTTATCATGACAAAGACAAAATAAATCAGTTATTAGAAATAGGTTTCTAAAACTATTATGCCTAGAAATGTGCTGAAACGATCTTCCCTCTATTAAACAGAAATTGAGGAAGAAAATAAACGGGCGCTAATAAGTCAAGGGGGCTAATAATTCTGACTTTAACTGTATGTTGGACAGTTATTGAAGTATACAAAGCTGAATTGGGGATATGCTGACCTTTTAATAAAGTATACAAAGTTGTAATTGCACTCATGGACAAGCAATGATACTCAGATATGCGTCTACCAGGGCCTAAATAGCTAACTGTAGTCATACAAAAAGATGAAGCATTTCTATTTTTACTCTATACTAGTTGATTAAGAGTCCCCTGGAGAAAATTGGAATCTGCAGTGCTTGTACAGTATGTGCAGTATAGTAATTCATTTCAGTGCTACCTGGCTTGTTACCATGGTGCTAGGGGGATAATATGATAAATGAGCAATGTCCATTATGTAAGCTTGGACCTTTTTACTGGCAACTGTTATTTTTGTTCTTTGTGGTCTTGTTAAATTCTCCAAACTTTCCAAGAGATCTTGAATAACTGTGAAACAGGTCCTAGAATTATTTACTAGTCATCACTTTCAAGATTTTCTGTAATTTTTCTAAAAATGTAAACCAACCATGTCTTCCAACTGTTTAGGATCAGCGAAAGACGTCTCATCTTCAAGGGGATCCTCGCAACACAGATGCTCCCAGCATCAACCAGGGATTATTTAGCCACCTTCCTCTGCACTCCCAGCAACAGATCCGCACTCCGTTCTCCATGATCCCCATCGGCGGCATCCAGATGGTCCATTCTGTGCCCACTTCTGTCACAGGTCATGCCCACTCCACGCGCCTTCCCCTACAGAAGAGCACCTCGGAGGAGTCCAGCACCAGTGAGGTGTCCTTCCACCTCTCTGAGGGCAGAGGGCCCGCCAGCAAAGGCTCAGAAGACTCACCCCAATCCCAGGAAAAATCCACATCCCCCAAGGCTCCATCACTTTCCCCACAAAAGTCACGAGAGGACAGCACCGAAATGTCAGACAAGGAGAGCAAACAAGAAGAGTGCATCCAAACATGCACTAAGGCGATAGCGTCACTGTGCATCGCCTCAGAGGAAACGACGGACAGACAGCCACTTCCCATTGATCCTTACCATCAGCGCACTTTATCTCAGTCACCTGCAGCTCAGCAAGACTGTGCGGCGAGAGCGCAGCACTACTGCAGCTCAGAGATCAGCCACCCCCTACACTCCAGAGCAGAGAGCAGTGTGTCTGCCACATCAAAGACTCCCACAGCAAGCCATCCCACTCTCTACAACACAGAGACAGCAGAGCGAGTGTCTGGCCAACAGAGTCGTGGAGAGAGGCCAGCAACCATAAAGAAGAGCAAAGATTCAAAAGACAATAGGTGAACAAGGTCAAATGAGAGAGTGGTATCACAGGTTTTATATTTACACATGTATATCCATGCAAACAAGATCAGTCTAAAACACAAGTGAACTGATTCAGTGGTTTCGATGTACATTTATAGCATGCCTTTTATAAGACGGTTTGCTATCTTAACTATAATGACTTTCTTATTTAAAGTTTCAAAGAATATATATATATATATATATATATATATATATATATATATATATATATATATATATATATATATATATATATATATATATATATAAAATTTTAACTTATATATGAGCCTGACCAAAATTGCTTATGGACTTTGTCTGGTACTTTTCAAATGTACAGATGTGTGTGCCTTTTCTTTACTTTTTGCTTATATTCTTATAAGCATTAAACAGGAAGTCATGTAAATATATATATCAAGTTTTGTGTATCCCGCTTTGTAATAAATGCAATTTACCGTCTTTTTGGACACTTTCGGTCTGAATGATGTGAAGTATCAATACATGTAAGGTTGCACTAAAACATATTTTTATATGTGTGAAATTAAATGGCTTTTGTGTACAGCAGCAATTCTATAATACTATTTATTGTATCATGTTTCATAAATTGTACATTTTTCTTAATGTCGTGGATGCCTTTTCTATGTAAAGCATGGGTTTTGCTATTGCATAATTAGAGCAAAAATTATGTACATGTAATATGGCTTTATATATTAGAAGTATGTGTGCATATACTTCCCAGTAAACTCGCTTTATTTAGAATAATTCTATATAATTTAAGTAAATGTTTATATACCTAGTATACAGAAAAACTATATATATATATATATATATATATATATATATATATATATATATATATATCTGCACATGTTTTAGATTGACAACCACATACTCTACGGTAGTTGGTTCTAAGTGCTTGTATCCTTCTCTTTCCTACTGGCTGATAGGCTACACTAGTTGTGATTTCACCCGTTCACATTTGAAATGTAGAACTGTTCAGCATTAAGTGAATCAACTTTCGCACTTCTGCATTTCCTCCACCACTTACTGAGGTAGATGTGAAAGGTATTTGGATCTTCTGTGAATATGATGTTGCTTGAAGTACTTGACTTGATGATTAGTATGGGGAACATTCCAACAGATGTAAATAATGGATGCCTACGCTCATAGCCATACATATTCATACATTGAAGGAGTTCGTCGTGGGCCACGCCATCAGTCCGCAAAACACATTTATAACTGTATATATGAAAACTCCAGTACTGAGAACTCCTAAAATGCACCTTATGTTTCTTAAACCTTCCTAAAGAATCCCAAATTATATCACTTTTACGACTGGGATTGGAAATAAATACAGTTTTGTTTTTGAGTTGAAGCAACCTAACTGAACTGGAGAATGGAGCCAGTGCACTCTTGTGTGTATATCTGTATTTTGTATTGTGTGTATATGATCTATGTAATTGACTCCTTTGACATTTTTTGTCGGTAGTCCCTGCTATCCACTTAACTGTATTAACATGTCTTTAAAACCTAAGGTATCAAAAGCACAAATCATTGTATTGACAGAAAAAAAAAGATAAACATAATTAAAAATACAGAATCAAAATAAAAGGGGAACTTTGTGATTTTCAGTGGAAAAACAATATGTACGATATTGGTTTTGACGAATCACAGCACAGGTGAAAAAAAATACAGATTGCTGTTTTGAAATAAATACAACTATGATAACTTTGCATGTCTGTGATGTCTTAATGCTTTTTCTTTCTTTTTTTTCTTGCCAGGAAACTGGAACAAAAATGTCAACGTAAAAAGAAAGCTGATTGAAAAGAGACTGGGTGCATGTTCAGATTGAAGATATTAGTACACAAAGATGTGAGCTGCTAAATTTAGTACATTCAAAACATTATTTTTGCTGCTTGTTCATGCTACTTGCTTAAAATGAGCCAAAGCAACACAATTTTTGAGATTTCTTTGGGACAACTTATTTATGTTGAATCTATTTAAATTTGGGAAAGAACAAACAGGAGGTACTGTTTTGATGCACCAGTGAACCCAGTATTTTTTACAGTGTAGTGCTTGATTGCATGACAAACTGCAACACTAAAACCCAAACGACACAAAAAGGTGGATGTTACAGTACATCTATTCTGCATTTATCATGTCTGACAAACAATCCTTTATTAAAAGGTTTTGTGAAGGCTTCTCATTGTCAACATTGACGTTACACGATAATGTCAAGTAGCAGACCAGGCACCAAACTTCAGAAAGCATGTGATAAATTGCAAACTTGAACCATAATAGAGTAAAATAAAGATATCATTTGTGTAGATCTTCTATTGTGTAAATATACAAGCTGAGTTTCAAGTGCATTAAATAATTAGGTTTGTAGCTTTAAAAGAATTTGACCAGTTTTGAATCCATTCAGCTGATCTCCATGTCTGGCGGGAGCACTTTTAACTTCGCTTAGCATAGATCATTGAATCAGATTAGACCAATAGCATCTTGCTCAAAATAATTTTGAAAATGTTCGTATATTTAAAGCTTGACTCTACAGTAGTCGTATTGTTTACTAAAACTAAAAGAAAATGAACAATTGCTATTTTCTAGGCTGAAATGTCTAGGAACTCATTCCAGCATAATAGTCAAGGAACATTGCTGCCGTACCAATGAACAGTACACGCTCCGTGTAAAAATGTCTAACCTTAGTTATATTAATGGAAGTTAGACGATTTTCCTTTTACACTTGTTTATTCAATTTATATACTTGAATACTGTTGAACGCTCCAGAAAAACAAAGCACAGCTTATTAAGTTGTATCTTTGTTCTACTGTATTTATCTTCTTTTTTTTCCATTTAGTCCTTCTAGGATTTTGGAGGGACATTGTTTTATTTGAATTTCTATACATGCGATCTAAAATGACAGCTCTTCTGGTAACTTATGCCACTATTTGCTACAGTTCTTGTGTTTTTGGTTTGAGCTAGGTTAATCATTCCAAAAATAAGACATTATCTACTTATGATCCACAACACAGTCTCATATGACACATCAATTACTGTTAAACTGATGAGAAAAATTGTCCTTCTCGAACAATCCGAGGAACTCCTAAAAAACTGTGACATGGTCTCCTCCTCATTCTACATAATGAAGCATTTCCCACGCCTCCCTCTATAACAATTTGCTATCTTCTAGGCTGAAATGTCTAGGAACTCATTCCAGCATAATAGTCAAGGAACGTTGCTGCCGTACCAATGAACAGTACAGGCTCCCTGTGAAAATGTCTCACATTTTAAACTTCTTTGTTCAATATATACCTCAATACTGTTGAACTCCCCAGAAAATCAAAGCACAGCTTATTAAGTTTTACCTTTGTTTTACTGTATTTATCTTTTTTCCCCCATTTGCTCATTCATTTAAATTAGGGCTGCACATTATATATTTTGCACATCAATATTGCAATGAGTGTATCTGCAGTAGTCACATCACAAGATAATGCAATGTAGAGTTGGGATTATAGATGACAAGGAACCACAAGTCAAAACACATGAGATTTATGGTGACTTTGCTGAAATTAAGCATAACAGAGTGATTATCTGGATTTGTTAAGGCCTGTGACTATTTAAGCATTTTAAGAGACTCCAAAGAATTTTTAAAGAACATTAAGACGTTTAACACAGATTCACTTTATTTAACAATTCTTATGATAAAGACTATGAATTGTTAATTTACATTTGATTATTAAATTTCTGTAACTTAACACTGTTAGACTCTCCACAAATCACTTCTGTTTATTTCACTTTAATATTTGCTCAATTGTGTTTATTTGTTACTGTGTTTTGTTTATTGTATACAGTGCTCAGCATATTTAAGTACATCTTATTTTAAAAATGTTTTTTTTCCATTTCCCTTAAATTTAGGCAATGTATTTTGGTGCATTTAAACAAAACAGATTTATTAAACAGATATATTTATTAAAATATTATTTAAGTCACCAAATATATTTAGAAATTTAAGGATAATGCAATTAAATACAAGCAAATTGTTGCAAAAACAAATTACAAACTACAAAACTTCAACTAAATTTTTCATTTTTTTTTGCTTCTCTTGTTTTTTTCCTCTTTTTTAAATTGTTATTTAATATTTTTCTATAACCAGGGTTTCTGCAGGTTCCACAGAGTTCCACTCATAAAAGGCTAAAGGCTAAGGAATTTTTCAAATGACCCAGATGGAAAACATTTTTATTTGCATTATCAAAAAATATATAATTTAATACATTTAATAAATAAATTAAATATTTTAGCATTCTAATATTTCTTAGCAAAATACAAAAAATATTGTGTAAAAACAAGCTACAAACATTTGGATACAAACAATCTACTTGTATCCATACACTTTTTTTCCAACATAAACTTTCTTTAAAATAAAATAAAGAACAAATGCTTAAGTTTTAAAAACTACCATAAACTAAATCTTTGCACAACAGTCTGTCCAGGTCGGTGTCCGCAGCAGTAAATACATGGAGCACTTTTTAACAAATGTTATTGTAAAGAAAAAACTTAAACCATTATGATAAATAGAGTTAAAAATGACCATTTAAATAAAAAGTTAAAAGTTTAATTGGATTGGATTGTTGGTAACCGTATGGGTTTTGGCAGCAATTTATGAACAAAGGAAAATTAAGATCCATTAAAAAAGACGCAAAAAGTTAAATATCCGTTAAAAAGACGTAAGACCTACAACACAATATTTCAGTAAATTTAAGACTTTTTAGGGCCTAAAATTTGGATTTTGAGATTTCAGACATTTTAAGACCCCACATTACCCTGTATAAAACATACATTTGGGTGTACAAGTTTTTCATAAGCTCTAGATTTGGCTTCAGTACTGAATAATCTATTATATGCACAAATATAATATTGTGTATCTTCCTATTAAAAATATGAATTTAAAAGAGAGATTGGTAAAGTACTTATATATGCTGAGCACTGTATATATAATAAATGACATAAAAGTACATTTATATTTCACTCACCTATAAAATCATCCCAATCAATATATAGTCAAATTTTTCCAATAGCTTGCCGCCCAAACACACTTCCCTACAAAATCACCACAATAATTCTTATTAAAAAAAAAGCTATAAAGCTAATTTACCTTCATATCACAACACATAACCCATCCTTCTAGGATTTTAGAGGGACAATCTTTTATTTTAATTTTTATATTAGCAATCTAAAACGACAGCTTTTCTGTAAACGTACACAAGTAAGTTTCTGATTAAACTTGGCCGGTTAATCATTCCAAAAATAAGACATTATCTATTTATGATGAACTACATAGTCTCATATGACACACTGATTACTGTTAAACTGATGAAAAAACTGTCCTTCCTGAACAATCCGAGGAACTCCTGAAAAATGTGACACAGTCTCTCCCTTATTCTACATAATGAACCGCTTCCCACGCCTCCCTCTATAGCATGATTGCACAATATAGTCTTATGCAACTGAATCATTTTATTGGGCAAGCAGAAACTCGACTGCCATCATAAAATGAGCAAGTGCATGAACACTATTGGCAATACCACCCGTAATGGCACTCTTTAAAATAATAGAGCTTTGTTCGAACTGACGCTGATTTGAACTGGGACACAACACAAGCTACAATAAATGTTTGTGATCTATTTAACCAGGCGGGCATATTTTCCTCTGCCGTTTTATATCTAAACAGCTTCTGTACAGATTGAATGCGGAGGACAATAATGGATAATTAGTGTGTTAGGTCTACACATAGGTTGGGGGACCAACCCGTAGCGCTGCCCCCTTCCATGGGAACATATGTTTGGAATGGTTACTGTTTTTCCATTTTTTTCTTTTCAGTCTCTTGCCAAGAAGAGAAGAAAACCACAGCCCACATTTTCCATGTGTAGTCAAAGTTCCTACATAGCTATATTCACGGGCGAAAATAGGCCCTGCTGGAGGTCTCCGAATGTCATCTCTGACAGACCCTGAGAATAAGATCATGTCATATCTGGAGATCATGCTGGAAAAAAAGTAGGGAGAGATTTCAAGCTAAATTTGGTGTAATTTCCGACTTCTCACATTGGCGGTATGTTATAAGCACATGCTGTACTGTTACAGTGAGTTCAAGCCGAAGCCAGTATCCTGGTCTTATCTTTAAGACATACTGCCATCTGTTGGCTAAGAGTATTACTGCGTCTTCCCTGTTCATGAAGCCTATCATGAAACACACAGGCCATCTGTGCACTACAATATATCACAATTTTCTATAAATCACACTTCTCAAGAAATTTGATTCACTATGATTTCATTTGCATTATTATGTACATTTTGCTCACACTATTGTTCAAAAGGGTGTAAAAAATACCATTTTTAAATGCACCATAAAAAATGGATGCTTCTTTATTGTTTTTGTTGAATCAAATGAACTGTTTTTGTAGTCACATTTTATCTTACATAAGTCAAGTTTGTATACTGCAGCTAAAATGAATTAGTTGAAAGCTGATTTAAGTAAAAAACAAGTTTAAGTAACAAAAACATTTGTTGTCATGACTTTTTACCTCGCTTTTTTAAAGTGTGGATACATTACAATGATCAAGACATTTACAAAAGTTTCTATTTCTTTTAAGAAGAATCTCAATGTCCAAAACTTAGTTTCTACAAAACCAAATAAAAAATAATTAATTAATCATGGCTACTGCAAATTCTGATTTGT